GTCCCATCAATTCATATGGAGTAACTGAGGCGTACACCGAAAACTTCCAGTTTGGATAACCGGGCGTCGGGCCGAGTTTTAAACCTATGATCTCACAGACACTCTCTGTCACGATGTTATGCGCGTGGAATTTAGTCCTGTTTCTACGTTATCCAGTCACGTACGTTTTTCGTAACATTTTCATAAGTAAATATGTCGTTCATGCGAACACACACAAATAAGTGGATCAACTTCTCTCTTTGGGATATAGTATTAGTATTAGTATTAGTATTAGTATTATCTCTTGTGAACACGCTTCGGAGTATGAAATCAATACCGACAAGACAATGGGTTACTGGCAAGACGCCGAATTGCTAAAAAAACACAGTAACGACATCGGATTGCTCAAAAGACACCGAGTTATTGACAAGGCACCCAGCAACTCGCAGGTCACAGAACTACTGACAAGGCACCCAGCAACTCGCAGGTCACAGAACTACTGACAAGGCACCCAGTAATTTGCAAGACACAGAGTTACTGTCAAGACAAGGGGTTTTTGACAACTTACTGAATTACTGGCAAGATATAGAGTCACTGACAAGACGCCGAGTCACAAGATACCCAATAATTGCAAGACACGGAATTACTGACAAGGCACAGAGGCAGTAACAGCACACGAAGTCACTGACAAAACAGATTCACTGGCAACATACCTAAGTTGATGAGCAAGAAACTACAATAGAGAGTTTAGCATCTGCGCAGTTTCATTTTGAAATAACAGTCTCCCCTTGAGAACGGTTAATGAGTAATATACTCCGCAAGACATGAAACAAATCTCTGAATGAATCGAGCACGACACGTATGGATTTCTATATGCGTTTTACGGGACACGTGATGCAAATAGTCATGATTTTGTCCTCAGAATTTCCGTATCGGAAACAGTGGCTTTTTTGTTTGTATGTGAATCCCCCGAAACAGGGGGTAGGAAAATATTGCTTATATGAGGCAAGTACATATAATATTCGTAAGATATTATTCTGTTATCAAACCATTTATTTTCACTTCATACTTGCATTAATTTATTTATTCTTTATATTTTCATTAAATGTTTTCAGATGAGCTTTTATCTGCAGCACCAAAATCTGGCCACACAGTTTACTGTCCTATTACATAATAGAAATATCAGAACGAGAACCAGAGCAAAGGTTCCAGAACTGTTTGAGGTTGAGGCTCTTTTCATGGGATTAAACATATTTGGGTCACCCGAATTTATAAAGATCACTTGAGTTCTAATTTAACTATAAATATTAACACAGCTCCCATGTTGTATTTGTTTTCTATTATATCTGTTTCCATCAACACGATACTGTACAGATACACTATTATCTGCGAGGAATTTTTTGTTACATGTTTCGTCCTCTCGACTAACAACAGGTACGAACACCCACTGCTGGTAGGACTACCCACCCCATTACAATTGGCCAGTGTACGTGCTGAGAAGTGCAGCTGGCAGTGGGTGATAAGTAGGGACCGGATTTTAGTGCAAATGCATATTTTTTTCTTGCAACCAGAATGTATGCTCGTTTGGATATACTCGTATGTATGAATTACTTAATTTCTTAAATTTTGGACATGGCTTGAGGGTGCATATAAATGCATATTTTGACTGTTTTATGAATAAGCATAATATTTTCGAAGATCTCTATTTATACTGCATATTTCCTTTTAAAAATGTTTATCATATATATTTTTTAATTTTATGTTCAAATTTTCAATCATGGTCGTGTGTATACAATTTTTCTTTTCTGTATTAGAATATGTTACATATTTGACTCAACATTTCGTCATGATTCATGTTTCTGATGCAATACCCAGGACGGGACTTCCTCGATCCCTGTACTCATAACTTTCCTCATCCGCGTATCATCAAAGTGGCCGCGAAGAGATGAGGCAGAAGCGTCCACATGTAGCCGCTATCAATGTGATACGATTCAACCTCGATGCCTGTACTCGTAACTTGCCTCATCAGCGTACCATCAAAGTGGCCGCGAAGTGATTAGTCAGAAGCGTTCACATGTAGCCGCTATTAACGTAATATACTATTCAACCGATAAGAGACTTCACTTATTTATTTCCGAAGGCTCAACGAAGTTCGTTACGCTTCTTCATTTGAAGCTGGGGGCCATTCACATTAGTGGTGACTAGTCTGTAGTTAAGTTTGTTTAGCTTTCTGTAGTAATGCCGAAAGTGAAAGTAAGTCGGAAAACTAAATTACAGCTGTATCAGCCGGAGTTCGAAGGAGAGATGATAAGTACGGATAACGAAATTCTTTATTGCCGAACGTGTGAGAAAACAGTTGGTTGTGAAAAACGCTTTCAAGTACTACAGCATTTGAACACTAATATACACAAAGAAATATTAAAATTAAATCCACGAAAAGTGCTCCTGTTCAAAAATTGCTTCGTGAATTTTCTAATAATAGTTTTTCACAGTTTTTCTTTGATTTATGCGAAGCGTTTTCAACGGCAAATATTCCGCTGTGGAAACTAACCTATCCTACTCTGAGAAACTTCTCAGAGAAGTATAAACAGTCCAAAATGCCGGATGAATCTACTGTGCGCAAAAATTACGTGAAGCAGTGTTACGATTTTACAGTTGAAAACATTAGAGATAAGATTCAAGATAATTTTGTGTGGGGATCAATCGACGAAACACAAGATTGTGAGGGACGGTTTATTGTAAATTGTATAGTTGGATCCCTTAATAAGAATGAACAATCTACCCCATATCTTCTTACGGTAGAGCAATTTGAAACCACAAATCGCTCCGCAGTTCCCGGATTTTTTATCAATTCCATGAATTTGCTATGGCCGAATGGCATTCAGTATGAGCGCGTATTGCTCTTTGTGACTGATGCCGCAAGTTATGTGATGAAAGCCGGTACTGCTCTTAAAGTTATATTTCCAAATATGACACATTTGACTTGCCTTGCCCGTGGGTTGCACCGTGTTTCAGAAACAATTCGTGCAAATTTTCCGCTTGTTGAGAAGTTGGTGTCTTCTGTGAAGAAGGTATTTGTTAAAGCGCCATACAGAAAAGAAGCCTTTATAGCAGTAGCACCGAGCGTTCCACTTCTGCCAGAACCAATTTTAATGCGCTGGGACATGTGGCTGTGTGCAGCGAGTTACGAATGTCGTGAATACATTTGATCCCAAAATTGCAGCATCAATTCAAATTGCCCAAGATGTACTAAAGACGCAGAACTAGAAACTAATCTTTCCTATATATCTGCTCACTTCTCTCATCTTCCATTCGTCATTTCCTCACTGGAGGCAAGCAACAGCAATAGTACTTTGTATCAGTCGTTAAGTGTGTTCAAAACCACTGTTTCCAAATTTAATTAGGTTCCTGTAAGAGATGGTGAAGTAGTAAACGAAGAAGCACACAGCCTTCTTTAAAAAAATCCAGGATATGAACAAATTTGTGAAATTTAAGAAATTTTAGCCGGTAAACGTATTAAACTGCAAAGTAAAAAATCACTAACAGTGGAGCAAATTGCGACTTTTGTACATGCGCCACTAAGTTCCTGTGAGGTGGAAAGAAGTTTTTCCCGCCATAAGGACATCTTACGAGACAATAGGAGGCGACTAACTATGGACAACCTAAAACATTTAGTAATTGTGAACAATTTAGAGCAATTTATAATTGCAACAGAAGAGAAGTTGAAAGTTCAGAGAGCTAAATATGAGTACCACTGGTTTTTTAAATTTGTAATGAAATATGTTGGCTTTGTTGCATGATTTGTATTTAAGTATAGCTTTTTACTGCAAGTGAATCATTCACTGATTACATAAAATGAACTTAAATATTGATTTGTTGGGCTTAAATTGATATAAAATCAGTTTTAATATTTGGTATAAACTTTTATGTGCATGTTTTAGTGCATATTTCGGAAGTTTTCCAGGCATAAATTCATACATATTTAGGGGATTATAAGGGCATAAAAATCCTGTTCCTAGTGATGAGTGCCGAAAGGCCAAAACGTGTAGTATATTATTAAAGCAAAATGTATCCATAAGTTGTGCTGACGGAAATAAACATAACCGAGTTAGCAATTTAATATAACGTGGAAATTCATAGTTCAAGCTTGCTCAGCAACAGTTCAGATGGCAGACATATCGGAATTTCCTACCGAAAGCAGAGTGAATGAAGTGTACGCAATTGACTTTCTTATTCAGAGCTGTGGTCACTTTCAGAAAATCGGTTTTCAATGTTGACACTTTTCTATCAACAGTGGCCACAATGTGACGTCTCTCTGTCTCTCTCTCTTTCGACAGAGAGCCATGACCGGTGTCCTGAACTACCTTATATGAGTGAGAAGCACAGTATAAAAATAATGTTCCTTTAAATGCCGGTTAGACAAGAGATACGTAAATTGGACGAATGGTGAAAATAAGATTATAAGATTACGGTTTTCTACAGTGTGACACAGTGTAGTGTGGTATACGAGTACATACATACCAGTATTACGGACGGATCTCCCGACTCCTCCCTCAGAGCTAGTCTTCTACGCTGAATACAGCACGTAAAAAAGTTAAAATTATCCCTGTACCAGGACATTGAGGCCCATAAGATTTTGAGACGTCGAGGCTACCACATTTTCCAGACAATCGCCTTACACATGGCGGTGAGGATGTCAGCCTTACGCGCCGGCCGTTCCCCCTTTACCCACAGGAATATTCCTAGTACTCATTTGTTGTTAGAGGCTAGTGACCCCAGGACTATAGTGCCGCTGGAATGATTAGGTCAATAGAAAAATCCATTGGCCTCATCGGGAATCGAACTCGCGACCTTCCAGATTGTAGCATAGTACCTCAACTAACTGCACTACCGCACACCCCGAAGACAGCAAGATCTTCCGAAAAATTGGAATCTGCCAACCGACTGCACTGCGTCACATCGCAGAAGACCCTGGGCGTTATACTCACTGCCACGAGAATCTAACATCTCTAACACTTTATTATATTTAAGTTTTCTGTTGCAAGAATTGTCGATCCATTAAAACCTTTCGTATCTGAAATTCAAGGCGTTGGCTGTGAATAAGGTTTTTGGGTTGTAATACATATTATGAACTTCTGAAAGAGCCCAATGTTTCGAAGCAACATATAACCAGCTTCTTCAGAGTTAAAGGATAAGCCAAGCAAGAATAAAGCATACCCGGCAGATGAAGGCGACATGTTCTTCGGAAAGTCGGGCAGTCTCTGAACTACCATTGGTTTATAACACGACAGTACAACCCATATGACCGTGCTCTTTGCAGTAAAACTTATCTTGTAGTCGAGATTGTGTTATGACTATCCCATACTATAAGTTGAGAAAGTACGGCGTTTCTCGTCGTAGACTGCTGGGACATAGTCACCGCACTTCGGGAACCCTGGTGGTGGACGAGGCATATCACTGTCTTCTCCCACCTGAAGCACGAGGGCCATCCCAGTTGTTCCATGGTACAGCACGTGACAGTGGAAGAACCAGTAACCTGAAACATGTCATCTCCGGTACACCACATGCAATGGAAGAACCGGTAACCTGAAACATGTCATCTGCGGTACAACACACGCAGTGGAAGAACCAATAACCTGAAACATGTCATCTTCGGGACAACACATGCAATGGAAGAACCAGTAACTTGAAACGTGTCATCTCCAGTACGACACATGGCAGTGGAAGAACCAGTAATCTGAAACATGTCGTCTGCGGTACAACACATGCAATGGAAAACCAGTAACCTGAAACATGTCACCTCCAGTACAACACATGACAACTGAATAACCAGTAACCTGAAACATGTCATCTCCGGTACAACACATGGCAGTGGAGGAACCAGTAACCTGAAACATGTCACCTCCAGTACAACACATGACAATTGAATAACCAGTAACCTGAAACATGTCATCTCCTCTACAACACATGGCAGTGGAAGAACCAGTAATCTGAAACATGTCGTCTGCGGTACAACACATGCAATGGAAAACCAGTAACCTGAAACATGTCACCTCCAGTACAACACATGACAATTGAATAACCAGTAACCTGAAACATGTCATCTGCGGTACAGTACGTGGATGAAGGAACCAGAGAAGACCTTCGAAGATACTGTTGGATGAATGAGGCCAGCACAGGCCAACTCAGCTCTCTGACTGCTGGGTGATGGTGATAAAATGGATAATTTTATTTGTGTACAATGGCAATAATGAGTTATTAAACTTACCTGGGTTTCTGGCCAGAATTCTGATGACAGTGTACCCAGAAGCAGGTACAGCTATTGTGTCCCTAAATGGCGGGTTCTTCGAAATTTCCAAGGTGCCACGATGCAAGCCTTCGATTATATCATCTTCGGTTTGCCCATTCTCAAACGTTCCCATTGCAATAACATAGAAGGAGTAGCCATGCAAGTGAAAAGGATGGTTGACTCCTCCATTACCTGGTGAAGTGAAATACAAGATCCCGTGTCATTGTCACTTTCCGAATGCATCCCGAATTCTATGATATTACGAACCGAGGAAGTTTGCTTAAGCGACAACGCTTCTGGTTTACGTTATAGAGGTTCCCGATTCGAATCATGTCTGGGATTTCTATCTCCTGACCGAGAGTTTTTGTGGCTCTACTCACACCTCCCAGGAAAATACAAATACACCTCAGATTAGACCATGACAGCTTCCTTTAGCATCCTTTCCAGACTATCCATAAATCATTGAATGATTTGCACTGTATAGTCTGAACTATTGACAGTTGCTTCTCTTGTGGAAGAAATAATGGAGGAGGAAACTAATATGGACTTGAACAAGTGTATGTAGCAGAAAAATTAACACTTTTCTAGGGGGGTGTCTCTCCAATGAGGCATTTTTTGTCTTTACAGTCCATAAAAAAACGGCGGAACACGCATGCGAATAGGAAAGACGTTCTTTCGGCTATTATGTATTGTTACGTGTTGAGTGTGATTATAGACGGGTTCTGGAATGGTACTTGGATTTGTTGGATATCTTTACAGCTCGTGAGTACACATCATCTCAGTCACGTTGCTTGGTAGCGGCTTTCAGCGGCGGACATTCCTCTGCTTCCGGCCTCACGTCCTCGCAGTTTGGCGACTATCTCACACCAACCTCCTACTCTTAATCGCTGGCTTCAGCTCCTCCCAGGCTGGTCCTCGTGATATATAGCCTCGGGAGGTACTGTTCCCTGCGGTGCTTCCATTGGCTTCTGTTGCGTGTCTTGAAGTGTTCAATCATTGCGTCACTCTTTGTTGTGCCATATCCTAGCAACGGCTCTCTCTTCTCGTTAAACTATTCCATTTTTCTGCGGAGTGCCACAGTATGGCTTACGCTTCCGTCAGTTATCAGGCTTGAGATTAATTTTTGTCTAAGACTGTCGCCATGGCATTCTTTAGGTTCAAAGCGGAAACAATTTAAAAATAGGAAACTGTGAGAAGTTCTCACACTATGATCGATCTTTAATTTTATTTTTATATGAGACTCTGAGACTGTGACTATGTAGAATGCTGTCTTCTTTGTTGTAACTTCATGCCAACAGAAGCAGGCTGTAAGATTGTTTGTCTCCTGCCTTTGTTGGCATATTGCTTGGCTTACTCATCCTAGTATCCTGTTGCAGTTGGTATTAGAATTTCTTTTCAGTTGCTTACCGTTCACCGTATGAAAATTTAAAATTAATCCTTTCAGAATTCGTCACTGCACTATATGTTTCGACCTACCGCCCATCATGAAGTGTGTTGTTGCGATAACATTTACACTGCACTATACGTTGCGACATACCGCACATCATCAAGCGTGCTGTTGCAATAACATTTGCACTGCACTATACGTTGCGACATACCGCACATCATCAAGCGTGCTGTTGCAATAACATTTGCACTGCACTATACGTTGCGACATACCGCACATCATCAAGCGTGCTGTTGCAATAACATTTGCACTGCACTATACGTTGCGACATACCGCACATCATCAAGCGTGCTGTTGCAATAACATTTGCACTGCACTATACGTTGCGACATACCGCACATCATCAAGCGTGCTGTTGCAATAACATTTGCACTGCACTATACGTTGCGACATACCGCACATCATCAAGCGTGCTGTTGCAATAACATTTGCACTGCACTATACGTTGCGACATACCGCACATCATCAAGCGTGCTGTTGCAATAACATTTGCACTGCACTATACGTTGCGACATACCGCACATCATCAAGCGTGCTGTTGCAATAACATTTGCACTGCACTATACGTTGCGACATACCGCACATCATCAAGCGTGCTGTTGCAATAACATTTGCACTGCACTATACGTTTCGACCTACCGTCCACCATGAAATGTGTTGTTGCGATAACATTTACACTGCACTATATGTTTCGACCTACCGCACATCATGAAGTGTCTTGTTGCGATAACATTTGCACTGCACACTCGATAGGCAGTAGGCGTACCAAAACAGACAATACATGTGGAATAGAAGAAGAAACTGGTTTGACTTCATTTAGAAATATTGTAAATACTAAAGGACCTATGGCAGTGGCGCGAAAGGCACAGCAGTTCTCACGAATGTCAGCGCACCAGGTGATGTCCGAGTAGGTCGAAACATGTAGTGCAGTGACGAATTTTAAGAGGATTCATTTTTAAATACTGATATAGTTGTACGGTGGACGGTATAATAAACTGAAAATAAATTACTCTTCGATCCATTAAGATAGAGCCGTTGTGTATGTCCGAAACGTCGGGCTGTCCGGAACTACACGGAATTAGAACCCAGAAGACTGTAACAGTCCTCAGTTATACAATTTTGAAGGGGGGGGGGAGCTATGGGGAAACATGCATACAGTATACAAGTAGTCAACTTTAGAGTAGGCATATGGTCAGGGGACGGAAGAGCAGTTAGCACGGACTGGACCACCGGGGAATCGGATTTCAGTTCCCGGCAGGTGTAAATAATTTTCTCGTACCCACAGTGTCCAGACCGAATCTGAGACCTATCCAACGTCTGTTATTGTGAGTACCGGGGCTCCTGTCCACGGAGGTAAAGAGGTCGGCCGTGAAATTGTTTGCTCAATTTAACTAAGTACAGAGAGAAGGAATCCATGGAGCTGTACCTCCTCTTCCACATACGTCTGTATAGTTTGGTGTTTAATTAAGCACACGGACAACTCTACGTTTACTTGTATAGCGTATGGTATTCTGGGTAACGGCAACACGGGTTCCAGTAGGTGATTACCAGCGTCCGCAGGGACCTGCTGTTTCCTTCAGGTCACCATGGATATGGAAGCAGTATATTCCTTCGAAACGTCAAATACAATATAAATCTCCACAGGCGTGAAAATCTCATATTTATGGCTTATTTAATGATGCTGTGAGTAGGTATGGCAACATGGCGTCCAGTGGTGCGATGATTCGTGAAAGGTGAATTATAAAAAAAGAAATGTGAAATTTTGCAGTAAAACTTATGGAACCCATAACCCCATTCTTAGTTAAGCACCACGGTATAAAGATAAATGCCGGGATGGAGGTATAGCTCCACGGTTCCTTAACTTCGGCACTAGTAGGCCGCACCATAGCTCAAGCGGTTAGTCGCTGAGTTCCCACCGCGGCGGCCCGGGTTCGATCCCGGGTCTGGGCAAGTGGGATTTGTGGTAGAAAAGTGGCGCAGGGGCGGGTTTTCTCCAAGTACTTCGGTTTCCCCTGCCAATCTTCATTCCACCAAATTCTCCATCATTATAATCACCCGGGGCAGGTACAATAGGCCAATCAGTGGCCGCCGTGCCGAGTGGACCCAGCTGGACTCCACCCCCACTAATTGAATTAAAAAAAAAAAACCTCTGTACTACATTAAGGCAAATGAACAGCTTTATAACCCTGCCGCTTACTCCAAGGGGAAAGATCCCCCGGTACCCACTGTATAGGACGCTGGGTGAACTCCAGAGCCGGCGTGGACCCTGTGAAAAAGGGAGAAATCTCGTCTTAGTCAGGAATCGAAATCAGTTCTCTGGTCGTCCAGCCCGTAGCCGAGTCTCTTTGCTGACCGAAGCACATAGGCTCTCAAAATAAAGCGGACATGGTCTGTTTTAAAATGCTGACTCGACTTTTTCTAGCGAGCACTGAGGAAAATCAAGAAAGAGCTCATTCGCGAGCTCCAGAACACGAATCAGTCATGCTGCTCCACCCCGCTCTTCGGTTTAATTTCACATAATCAAATTTTACATTGGGTTGTGTACCGTTGTATTATATTGTGGTTTAAAATAATTTAGTTAATTTACAGCATAAGATGATATTTATTTAGTGAAGGGATAAACATTAATATATCAATATTTTTAGCAACGGCTTCTAACAGTGGAAATTCTTTAGCTTCACGCACTTCGGTCCTCCCTTCTCAGTCTCCCGTACAGAACTGACTAAGCTGTAACTTTGTCCCTTGCTTATAACATCTCAGCACGGACCACGTAGGAAACACAATTTCTCTGTTGCACGCGTATCCGTTGCCGCTTGAACGTGTTTACTAAGCCGGTGCCTAAGAACGGCCTTGTTATATCCGCCCATCTCGCTGTCGTTGCATAGCAACGACTGTACACGCTACAATACACTACAACCCTGTGATGATGGTCGTTTGAGACCGAAACCCTTCGGGGTAATAAGGAATATGACGATGTTTACTTTATATTTATACAGGGTGTTTCACGACTTTAGGGCATAACTGCAGGAGGTGATTTCCCAGGTCTTTTTGATAAAAAATGTTCATATAAACATGTGTCCGATTTTGGACGGTTACGGAGTCATGGCCGTTTTTTCATTCCCGTACACGCCCTCGTGTGAACCGCGTCTGTCAGCTGGAGGGGCGCTATTTTTAGCCAGCTACAGACAGAGCGTTCTCGTTATCTCGACACTTGAGAGGTACCTAAGGCGTGGTGGGTTGGTATGTCCGGCGCGGTTCACAACCGAGCGGCAGCTTGTGTTGCGGCCGGCGGTGGCATTTTCGAAAATCGGCTTTAAGCACCAATAAATTCAAATTAAAGGTAATTTCACGACCTTTACTTTACATTCATACTTTAAATGTATCATGCATTATGCTGGTTTATTATTTTGTCCCGTTTGTTGTCAGTAATCGTTACTTTCTATTCTGAGTTTAAAACGGTCATAACTCTGTAACCGTCCAAAATCGAACACATGTTTATATGAACTTTTTTGATCACAAAGACCTAGGAAATCACCTCCTGTAGTTATGCCCTAAAGTCTTGAAACATCCTGTATAGTAGATTTATGTTTTGTCGATGCCGACTTACCCTTGTCAATCAGAATAAACTGAGCGACTGCGCAGAGTGGGATCTGGATGATGTGCAGACACTGACAGTAACTCCCTGAACCCAGAGGACACCGGGGAGCGCCATCTTGTCCCTTGGGACATACAACACTTTGCTTGACGTCATGTCGCTGACTCAGTAGCGGGGACGACGGGAAAGAGAAGCTTATGTTATTCACCACACTGCTCATCCGTCTGTTGCTTGACGGTTCTGTGACGATACAGTTTATTGACACATTTACTACTTATTAACTAATTAATTAATTAATACTCTTATATCTACAGGCTCTTGTGGACACGGTTATAAATCTTCAGGTTCCTGAGAGACGCGGGATTTCTTGACTGCCTCAGCTATTATCAGCGTCTCAAGAAGGACTCATTCTCATGAACTTATTGATTATTTGCCGATCACAGTGGCCGTGCGGTCTAAGGCATGAAATTTCTTCGCGCGCTCGAACGCTGGGATCGTGTGTTCGAATCCCAGTCAAGGCATGGATCTCTGTGTGCGTTTATTCTGTGTTGTTCTCTGTGTAGTTACCGGCCTTCCGAAGGGGCTGATCCACCGTCCAAGGAGTATTAGCGACAGTGTATAGAATTAAGAAACTGAAAATTCTCCAAGGTCCAAAGGGCTCTAAAGCCATATAGAGAGAGCGAGCGAATATTGGCTTCTCAAGACGGACTTATTTATGTCATTATTCGCATTTATTTACTTACTTATTTTGGGGCTTTTGTGAACAGGGTAATGAACTACAAATTGTAATTTGTTAGTGTGACGGACCAGAATGAAACAAATCAAATTCAAGGTAATGAACCTTTGGATTTTATAAAAAGTGAGGAAATTCTTGGCTGACTGAAAACTGTAAGCCTATAAGAAGGGCCGTACTTCAGGAAGTTGTTTATGTATTTATTTGTGACCCTTTTTTTGAACAGGATAAAGAAAATTATTTAGATTTCAAGAAAGAAGGATGATCTCTTCACTAGCTGCAGGACTGTACGTTTCTAAACCAGCTCGGAATATCTCTATACTACGGTTATGAAAATGTGACCCGCTCTCTACGTCGCGATCGAAAGGCTTGCCGGTCAAGTAAGCACCAAGGGACATGAAGACATGGGGGCTAAGAGGGTGCACTGGTTTCAGCACTGTTCCAGCGAGTCTCCACTGAGACGCCCGCTTCATCGGCCACGGTCGCTAGTCCTTCGCCCTAAGCGGTACCTCAACCGATTTCAATGGAAAACCCCTCACATAATTAGCTTAAGCAGAGCAGAATTTATCGTTGCGTGTTTCCCATGGAAAGCAAACATAAAATTAATATGTTTCAACTGAAATATATGGACACACTGAAATGCAACTTTCGGAAAGAAGAGGCCATCTTTAGGTACTTGATTTTTAGAATATTCCTAGCGGCAAGGCTCAATATTCATAGTCGAGAGGTGCGCGATTCGATTCTTGGTCAGGACACCGAATATAGTGACTAAGGGTCTTCATGGTTTTTCTCAGTCCCTCCAGGCAACTAGCTGGAGAGTGCCTAGGTTACTAAACGGCTGCTTCCTTCCAGATCCTTTCCAATTCTTTATTTATCAGTTCTCCTGCCATCCGACGCTACATAGCTTAGCTACTGGCAGCATTGTAAAGTAACGCACACGGAGCTTTATTTCATGTTCAAGTCCACGCGTCCCCTCTAGCCTGTCCCCATTGATAATTAGTTCTGAAAATTGTAATCCTACACAGTCGGTACGACTCTTTGGGCGGGGTATCAGCCCGTCGCAAGGCCGCTACCTGCACAGGACAAAACGAAGACGCAATAAGCGCAGACAGACGCCCACGCCTATAGCGGGTGTGTGTGTGAGACCGGCGAAGACATACTTGCCTTGCACAGCGCGGCCACTGCGATTATATTCATAATTATCAGTTTGTTGTCACTTAATATTTACATACACATATCACGTATCAAGGCCACTACTTCAGCAGCGTGGAGAATCTACAGCGAATGGTGCATGCATAGAAACTGATAATACACGTACCACTATGTCGCCATCCTTACGAACTGCACAAATAATACGCAAAGGGAAGGCAGAGCGAATAAATCCAAAACGAGGGATTCTCAAGCAAGTATCTTCTAAACTAACGGACAGCGACCAGAATGGAAAACATTAAGATGCTAATTAATTTTAATTGAGGTTAATTTATTTCAATTAGGAAATATCGCTTTTACACGCGATACGTAATTTTGACATAAAATGCAACAATTTTAGCAAGATGGACAGCACCTGATGATGGCTATATGCGGGCGAAACATGTAGTGAGGAAGAAGGGTGACTAGATAGCAAGTTGCATTGAAGACAGAAAGACATACTTCCTTCATATGATCAGAAGGTCATACCGAGAAACTTCAGGTTTCAGTCAGTACTACATTGTCCAGTTTGACGGTTACTTAACGAACCTGTCACCTTGCGTATAGCGTCGGATGGCAAGGTGACGGACTATAAAGGGGTTGGAGGGTGGTAGTCTTGGCTTCATCGAGTTGTTATCCTGGTATCCTCCTGTAACGACTAAGTGAAATCAAGAGATGCTCGGTATCCCGGGCGAGATTCGAGCCGAGTACCTTCCAAAGACAATCCCGGAGAGTTACCTCTAGGCAAGCCTGTTGTGTTTGTAATGTCGTCAGTGTGTAGTAGAGTGTCTAAACTAAGCTCCGTGGCCTGTAGTCCGCAAGGGAGCTATACCGACTGAGCGACCTCCGCTTGTCGGCGAAGTTAGTGCCAACTTTTGCGGATAGGGGGTGTCACGTGATCAGCGCAACGGATCCCCACGGCCGTTAATCTCGATTTTCTAGACCGGAGCCGCTATTTTATTGAAATAGTTCCTCAATTATCCTTACGAGGTTGAGTGGACCCGAACCCGGGACCTCTGGATCCGTAGGCAGGAACTCTGACCACTAGACCACAGAGGCTGTCAGTAGAGTGTCTAAATGGATTATTATTATTATTATTATTATTATTATTATTATTATTATTATTATTATTATTATGTTACCATTGGCTACGGGATGGATGGCTGACGGATGGGATTTCGAGTCCCGGTAGGTGCAAGACTTATTCCCTTCCACGTCGTCCACACCGGTCCTGGGGATCACCAAGCCCCTATCCACTGGCTACCGGAGCTCTTTCCCCGGAGGTAAAGAGACCGGGGCGTGAAGCTGACCGCTCACCTCGAAGTACTGCCTAGGTGGATCTGTACCTCCACTCCCCCATACCTTTTCATGGCGTAGTGTTTAATTAGTTAAGCACAGGGACACCTGTGCCCTTCTACGTAACTCTAATCATTATTCAGGGGCACGCGGTAGCGAAGTTGGTTGAGGCACTATGCTACAAGCCGGAAGGTCGCGGGTTCAAGTCCCGAAGAGGTGAATTCTTTTCAGTTGACCTAATACTTCCAGCTGCACTATGGCCCTGGGGTCGACTTAGTCTCCAACAGAAATGAGTACCAGGAATCTTCCTAGGGTGTAATGGGCGGCCGGCGCATAAGGCTGACAACCTTACTGCCATCTGTGTGCCCACTATCTAGATAATGTGGGACCCTCAACGTCTCACAACCCTATGGGCCTCCGTGGCCTGTTACAAGGATAGCTTCACCTTTTACTATCATTATTCTGTCAAGCTCTCATTCGAAACATCTCTCAAAGAGGTACAGTGTGTAGGAATGGACGAATGGAAGCAGTATTATCCGTGGAAACCGTACGTTGAGACGCGAATTGCCAGATTCTACGGCTGGACACTCAAGGGGCTAATATTCTGCATGCCACACTCACCGAAGTATGTCTCATACTCTCTGTGCTGAGAGAGATCTTCCACGGAGAATGTGTGGAAGCCAAACCTGAGTGAGAATGAAACGTCCGGATCTTGCGCAGTGACTCTGTGCGCCACGGGCTCTAAACCTATCAGCTGATGAATGCATACACCCTCGTGTCTCTTGCTGCAGGTCCCATTGTACGGGTTCAGAACCTGTAGGAATTACACTTAAAATTATCTAACCAGATATTCACTTTGAGGAGCACTTACTGTTTGAAGAATGTCGTCTTCTCAGATGTGGCGCCGTGTAGCTCTTGTGTGAACCGACTTTTCGGAGGAACATATCGCCTTCATTTTCAGGATATAAAATCCGCGAGCGAGGAATCAGCGTGAGAAGGTTGCTGCAGTTGCTGGTTCCTCGATCGTGGATTTTTCTACCCTGAAGATGGAAGCGATACGTTCATCCGAAATTTCGGTTCACGCAAGATCCACACGGCGTCCGTGATACTGAGAACAGAGTTGCAGAATGTGTAGAGTGGTATATAAATGCAACAGGATACTGAACTACAATATTAAGGAAACAGTGACTTTTGAAAGGGCAGAGCAAATGAGGGGAAGACGGATCACTGGTATTATCTGAATTAGAGTGAAGAGTCGTAGGGAAACACGAAGAAACAAACGGCCCTTCTAAGGACCATCTTCCCTACACTGTTCTTATAAATTTTGGTTCGCACATGGCCCCACCTAATACCCGTACCACTCCCCACCCCATGATCGGTTTACTCCTCTGGCATGAAGATGGATGCAGCAGGTTCAAGATGTTGGTAACGATCTACCAGACTACACAGCGTCACATTTCCATAATACAGCAATCTTCATTGTCATCGCCGTGAGGTGCTCAACTCTGATAACGAAATGCGAGGTTCTGGAAGAGGTGAATATTCATTTCACGGGTTTCTGAAATGTGACGCCGTCTAGTTTGTTAGAAACGTGAAATAATTTACACGGCGCCATAACCCAGGAGACCGTGGTCTGAGCCATATTCTTAATTCTACACATATTTTAATTCTAAAGCTCAGTTTATTCTTCGTTGGCCATTGCAACATGACAGTCTCCGATACACCGGGGGCTCTGAACTGGGGGCAGTCACGGATCGGCTCCGTCTGCTTAGTTCAGAGAGACTCTCTGTAACGAAGGTATACGTATTTACTGTGCCTTAAGATACCATAAGTACCGTTCCTAGGAGCGTTACATGTAGGAACAAATTTCCAAGCCTGCATTTTAACAATTTCCTTTATAACTTTCAACGGTTTTCCCCAGGCTCTCCCACCGACCATGAGAGTCTAAAGGCGCGTCCACATTACTCGTGCTCGTGCGTCAGAAGCTTACTGCTGCCGGAAAATCAGGATCTGGAGCTGATATCTGTTGTGAGGAAATGCGAAGGCTTTGTATGCAAATCAGTTTGGGTGTCCACTTCGTCAGCTCCAGATCCTGATTTTCCGGCAGCAGTAAGCTTCTGACGCACGAGCACGAGTAATGTGGACGCGCCTTAACAGTTCTGAACGGGTTTTCCATCCGAGCGTACCGCACAGAAGCGAATGTAACCCAGTCAGGTTAATGGCGAGTCCACACGATCAAAACAAACCAGAGGAATATAAAGTAACGCCATTGAAATGAGTTTTTCTTGAGAAGCTGACAACTGCTTAGCCACTCAAGATGTTACTCCAGTATTTTATGGAACCCGAAAGTTCATTGCCGTTTTCACAAGATCCAGCCCCTGATCACGGTCCTCTTTTTTTAAGACCCATTTTAATATTATACTACAAATGTCACTGGTTCACCATCTTACGTGCAACGCGTCCTTCTAAATCTTATTTAAAAGTTTCTGTACTTCGCACCACATATTTCAGCCGCCATTGATCATCATCAGGAGTTCAAAATTGTAGGTGGAAACTGCTGTGCTTCCGTTTTGTGACTCTGATATTCGATGTGTAGTCCCATCTACGCGCTCGTGTATTTCACGGTGCTGGGTGTCTCTTCCTGTTATGTTGTACGTCTAGACTACTTGTGTTAATGTTACACTCCCATCTTCTTTTACGTTTTCCTACTGGATTATTTCCTTCAAGTTTTCATATTAAAACGCGATGTAATCCTCTCCCGTATTTTCTACATCCTCTGCCAATTTCATTTTCTTGTGTTTGATTATTTTAATATGGTGAAGGATGCAAGTTTGAAGCTCTCATTAAGCGAAACAAACATGTTTTATATATTAAGAGAAAATATTTCTTTTTCTAATCAATCTAATGCATTGTGTAACGAGCAGGCCACAGTGTTGTTTGCTGTGTATGTGTTACGGTAAGGAAGCCGGGACATCCACCACCCGACTATAGGCCTAAAATTATGATTTCATACACGCGTCTATGTTAAGAATAGGGAGAGTGAAATTGGTAATACTCGTAGCTTGCGCCAAACACATGCGATTCTAAATTACTCTCAGAATTTCCGTTGTCTATTATTTTCAAACGGGAAAAACGGAATAAAACTGCATATGGAATATGAAATTGTAACTCAGAAAGTTTTATTTGATAACGCTGTATTTGCCGCATTCATGCACGCGAGAAAATATGACGTCATACCTCAAAATGGCGACTGTTCAAGAGAAAGCAATGTGCGTACTTTGGTTTTTCGTAACAAAGTCTTTTACCAAATCGCAACATCGTTACAGAACTCAGTATGGAAAGGATTCACCTGCAGATAACGCTATCCGACGCTGGGTATCGCAATTTGCTGCCATTAAAACAGTTACACCGCAAATGCTGGAGAACACTTGGCGGGAAGTCAGCTTGGACATCTTAAGGCGCGTCCACATTACTCGTGCTCGTGCTCGTGTGACTCGCTATGCTCGCGAGTAGTGTGGACGATATGACAAGTCACGAGACAAGCAAATTTGAAATTTAAAAACTATAACCAATAAATTAAAATACGACTACAGCCTATACACACTACGAGTAAATATAAGGATCCTCACGCGCCGAAGCCTGGCGAGCAACTGAAGTAGTGTGGACGAAGATTTAAGAGCACGAGCACGAGTAATGAGGACGCGCCTTTACATGCCACGAAAGGTACGCATGTTGAGGTCGCCATTCTGCAATGTTGATATAAAAGTAATAACACTTCTTGAGTTACACTTTTATATTCCATAATGAGCTTTATATTCTTCCGGTTTGAAAATTATGGGCTACGGAAACCCCGACAATAATTTAGAATCACTCTGCAGATCTGTCGTACAGAAAAATGCGAAAATATACGGTTCCTTCCACACCATCTTTCGCAATCTATCATCAACGTAGATGCTACGTAGTCAGTCTATTGCTAGCCACGGTGCTTAAACATTATTTAGAGAAACTCAGAGTAAAGTGGCTCGTAAATAAGATCTAAAAGTTTGTGACAATGGTACATTAATACAAATATTTTGTGTCTGGATATTATTCATCATCCTGCTTTTTTTATTTTAAACAGAACTTTGAGGCGTCTGGATTCTGTCTCCCTCCTCAGGTAAAAATTATTCAGTTGGGTCCAATCGATAGAACTGGTCTACATCCCTGAGCTTGTGCTTATAAGGGTAATCCTGTTAAATATATTTCGAGTTCGTGGATTATCCAACTACACGTATCTCTCGCGCAGAAAGCGGCAGATTTATCTGGCTCGGACTCTACTGCCTGGTCATGAGGTTGCATTTGCGCATGATCTGACTTCTTGACTGGGATTCGGAACAGTTTCAGCAAGTACCTTCTCATCATGATGGCTTGTATACCCCGGGTCGTCAAGAAATTGAGACTTGGCACCGCTGTAGCGAAGAATTCCCAGAGAGTACAGCTGCAGTTCCTCACAGTTACCGATAGCTTCCACGTGTATCCAGTAACTTCGAACCTCTTCTGAAGCTTCCAGCACGAAATCATATCGTTCCCCTAAAATACAATACGTATAATATAAATATTGTATTTAAGCATCATGTTGTGCGTGTACAAATTATCGTTATGTCCAGCCACCACAATAGTTTGTATAACTACATAGTATTTATATTGTCGCGATTCTGAGCGATTCTCGACAGGGTTTTCGATTCGAGATTGAATTTATTGACCACTTCAAAACATGACTGGTGATTACTTTATTTACAGCGCCGTCGCTGCTCTTCACACTTTACAAATCTCACCACCACACGCTAAATATTTTCAGTCTGCTGTGTCTTCACAAGTCGTTCCTTGGTAAAGGTTTCTAACAGTGGGGATTCTTCATCTCAACTGATAAAGTCTTCTCCTCACAGACAAGCTTACATCTCTCTCACAACTGACTAATTTCTAAATGTGTCTCGGTTATAGCATCTCGGGCCGGACCGCGTAGAAAACACTTTTAATTTTGGTACTCCAATAATTTCTGTGGGAACGTATTTGTTTACGAATGCGTTACCCAGTAACGGCTGCGTATACTTGCTTATTAGAAATCTGTTGCCTAAAAGCGAATGTTGTTTCGTTGTTTGTTTCGAGGTCGTTACCCAGGAACTGGTCTGCACGCTGCAATATCACGTACATTACGATTGGGCCCTTTCTGGTCATCATAGGGTAATACATTTGTACACGTACATTCACCTTTTCACTCTACTGCTGTTTCTCCCTACACAACACCATGGCAGAAAAGCAGCAACTAACCATTCAACATCCCAATAATTTTGGAGTGCAATACATAGATGATCCTAATTAGTATACAGAGTGTCCCAGGAGGAATGGACCAAACTTCGGGAGGGTGTTCCTTATGTTAAAGTATGCCGATATAACCCAAAACACCTATATCCAAAGTTGAACGGTTACGGAGATAATGGCCCAGGAAAAGTGTGGTCTTCTGGCAGGTCCACGCACTGTACCTCTCAGCTGAGAGGCCTTATCTATGTCTGTCCTTGAGTGCCGTGATTCACCCTCGCCGTACGTATGTAGTTGGCTTTATCAGAACGCGCAGTGAGCCACGTTACGTCAGCGCTTGCCATTCATGTGTCATGTATAGTGCTTGGAAACCCTAAGGACAATTATGACATGGCGAGCGAGTATTTTGTACTTCAATTTTATGACTTCATGTCACTTACAAGTTAGTTTGAAGTTACGTACATTATTAACATTAGAGAATCCACATATTCCTGCCAGTTTTAATATGTATTTTGTAATCAACAAGTGTGCAACGCCGGTCATAGTTTGACACTTCTCTGGCCATTATCTCCGTAACCGTTCAACTTTGGACATAGGTGTTTTGGGTTATATCGGCATACTTTAACATAAGGAACACCCTCCCGAAGTNATTTATTACCTGACGATGGCGAGAAAGGTTCGAAACCTGATTTATATACACGTGGTAGATTAATTGAGTTCGTGGAATGTGGTTTTATCGTATCACATTACAAGGTATACAAATACACTTAGCAGATTCACATCGGTCCTCAAAATAGTTGCCGCTGGCCGCTATGCAAGTCTGCCATCCTTGATATAGCTGCCGGAAACATTGCTGAAACATATTGGCAGTAAATTCCCGTATGACGCTTTGCGGCCATTCCACGAACTTATTGACTGTGGTAGTGTGTGTGTGTGTGTGTGTGTGTAGGTATACACACTATTGTGGCGACTGAACATAACGATAAAGAACATGATTACAGAAATAATTTCAAGCATATTTTGAGGATAAATAAATAAACTATTAATGAAATATATACGAGTATATATTCGATTAGGTCAAGAAGTGATAATTTTTCTAACGTGCGTTTAAAAAGTACCCGTTTCGAATCTCGGTCGGGACACAGACTATCCTGCATTGAGATATTGCATCAGATGTTTCTCAATGAGAATGAGAACTGGCAGAGGAAAGCGAAATACTCGGAGGAAACCTGCCACCAGTGCCACTTTGTCCACCACAAATCTCGCATAATCTGACCTGGGATCGAACCCGAGCAGCCTCGGTGGGAAGCCAGGAAGTAGCCATCTGAGGTATAGCATGCCCGTATCTAATCCTATTTAACATAAATGGTCGGAATGAGAGTGAGGAATGAATTGGAAAAATACGGATGGAAGTGGTCGTGGCATAACTTGAGAACATTCGTCTGGGGGACTGACGGAAATCAGAAATCCCATTCAGAATAATTAATGTTCCGGACGGGATTCGATCCTGGCACCTTACAAGTCTGTCTTACTCAGTCTCTTGGTTCTGCTGACCGTTAATACTTAAGTTTTACCTCCATACATGTCGATTGAGTTGACTCGAACTGGTTCAACTGGACATCCATCCACAGCGATGACGAGTAGAGTGTGATGAGAGATGCTGAACTTGTATGCACAGGAAGTGCACATCCCTCCCACGATCCGGAACCGGTAATTCTTACCCTGCCTCACCCGGAACAAGTATAATGGGGTCTCTGCATACAGACCATCCATCTGCAATTCAGTAGACTTTATTAGTTACAGAAAGATGAGTAAATATCCCCCCTATGTATATGAAGTAATGCAGCGTCCGCTCGCCGTCAGATTCAACGCTCCGCGTCAGTTGCAGTAGGTTAGCGTTAATGACGATGGAAGCGCCACTAGACCACTTTTATTGATGCTTACCGCAGTCTGACATCAGATGGCATAGCATGTTACAGTTAGGATGGTGTACGATTAATTTTTTGTACTTTTATATCGTGAACGATGACACTTGACTGCAGAGTGTTATAACTTATGACTCTGCAAGTCACATGTAAATTTTTATAGTAATCTTATATGTTGATCGTCATATTAAGTACTCAAACATTAGTAGGCCAAAATCACTTTTGAAGAATTGGGTCTTCTGGATTATGACGCCTTCTAGTTCGGAGAAAGAACGAAGTTTCGGGCGAACATATCGCCTCCATCTGCACGGCAGAAGCAGCAGAAATTCCGACGAACAATCTGAAGAGCTCTGCGGTGTTTCAGCTCTTGTTACTTCATGCATCCTGTTGTGTTATATATTTCTTTATTAAAACCGTCACATGTTTCGGCTATTCAAAGCCATCATCAGGCAAATACATGGCTAACAAACATACACCACTGAACTCGAGTGGTTGTTTACATTCCCTACAGACCGGAGAGTACTTTGTAAGATGGGGCACCTACTAAATAATTAACATTAACGATTCTGTATTTCAGCATCCCGTTGTAATTGTTCAAATTAGCGTCCATTGTTTATCTTCCGTCAAAATTGCAACAATTCTTACATTCTACAGTTCAACACTACATGTTTCGGTCCCAAACGGCCATCTTCAGGTGTTTTTATGTTACAGATATTTTACTAAAACTGTGTTTTACTGTAGTTTTGAAATGTAGAATATAAAAAGTGTTGCAATTTTGACGGAAGATAACCAATGGACGCTAATTAACATTAATGTTAATACATCTATATCACGAGCCTCCAAAACAGCTTATTATATATACACAAAATATAGAATACTCCAATTTGTCCGTGGGAACGCAACAAAATCGCAAAAACCGACTGACTCGATGATGTAAAGCATCGCTCGAAGAATTTTATTCTTGTTTTATACTATAACTTTTGTTTTATATAGTCTAATTTATTATATTTTTACGCCAAGTATTTTAATATAGTTAATATTTTTGTATCCAATTTTACTAGTACTGCAGTTCAGTGGTGTATATTTGTTAGCCATGTATTTGCCTGATGATGGCTTTTAATAGCCGAAACATGTAGCAGAGCCAAACTTGGCACTGACCTTAATATAATTGTGTTGTGACGGTTTTTAATAAAGAAACTTGTTACTTATTGTTACCGTGCGAAAGGAGATGTAAAAATTACGAGCACATATAATATTGTCGCGTGACATACACCCAACACGTGACAATTTGATGTCAGAATTCGTTTACGAACGAAAACCACACGGAAAAGACGTGGAGTCACAGCAGAAGTTGGAACTTCTGCTGAAGGAAATCAAAGCTGGCCAAGAAAAAGCAGACGTCAACCAAGCTAAGACGGAGGCCATAATGGAGGCTGGCCGAGAGGAGTGGAAAGTCGGCCAAGAAAAACTGCTACAGGGAATGAAAGCCTGGCGAGAAGAAATCCGCTCAGTGCTGTTTGAGACAACGAATACCAGAAAAGAGACGATGGCCTGCCGAGAGATGGAGTCACGTCCAGAAGAAGAACAGCCGACCTCACTGGACAGGAAACTTGAGGCGGCAGAAAAACGAGAGGTCCCCGTAGAAGACGTCGAAGTAATACCGGTCGGAGAACCGAAGAAGAAAAGGCGTAGGGACCGAAACCAGCGAAAATGAAGAAATGGACCCAGGAAAAGGATGGGTGCAGAAGAAGACTGGCCGTCGCCCGCAGAGGGACGAGCCGTCGTGTGGAAGTGGCACGGAAGAATAAAACCAGCAGCAAGGTGTCCCGCCGTGCAACAGTGGCGTGGCGCAAAAGGAACATCTTCAGGAAATCTACGACCCAAGGAAAGTGTGGACCGCGGCACGAATTTGCTGCCGACAGAAATATGACTAGCTGTGTAGGTGTGATACGGCGCAAGGGAGGTTTCGTAAAGAAATATTCAACCAGGGTCAATGCTGAACAAGAAACCTGGAAAGGATGAAAAGAAATAAAGAACATAGGCGGCAGACGGTCACTATGCCAGAAGAGAAAGGTGCCAACTAAGGACGACATCGGAGGGTGTAGATCGGGACAGCGATCGCACCTAGGAGGGAGAAGAACTCGTAGGAAGACCATCTACGAGATTGTCAGCGTGAAGATCGCGAAGCGAATAGTCGGATCTTCTGTCAGCCTACGACAAGGCAAGGATTGGGCACTGTGGAGATGTCGACCCCCTCCAAGACGGAAAAGTGGAATAGCGCATGGTGGAGGAACCGGTAACACAGAAGCACCGGCCTCCCCAGCTAGAATGAGTGAATGAGCGACGAATGAATGTGAGGGACGAATGTGAAACGATGGGATCGACGAACGCTGGACCATGGAATTTTTCGGGACGAACAATATTAATAAGGGAGCGGATGTAACGGCCGGAAAATAGTCACTGCAAGAGGAGTAACCGGACAAAAAGAAGACGTTGCAAGAACAGCCTTCAAAGAAAAGGAACGGGGATGCATCGTTAGGCTATTCGGGACGAACAGCCTTGAGGAGGGAGCAGTGTGACGTATTTGCGCTATGCAGGACACCCCCTCCCCCGCCAGCGGTGACGTAACAATATCGGAGCGCTGCCGCTGCTACGGTAACAGGCCAGTCAACACTCCGCCCCTCTCCCCCCCGGTGACATAACAGACCTTCCTAATGTGACGTAACAGACCTTTCCACTGTTATGTAACAGGGAACAATGCTGGTAACACGAGGCAACAGGGAACGGTATAAAAAGTCGGCTGAGCAGTATGTGACAAGAGTGTGGATCGTGAAGCCAGATAGAAAACAGTTGAAGTCTAGCAGTCGCCGTTTTGTACTGTGAATAATTGAAGACTATTGAAGATAATGTGAAGAGATTATTGAGTAGGGTTTGCAAAGTGTGTAAACCCGTAACATTGTCATAATTAATTATAGCTACGACATGTAGGTTGTTAAATAAACCAGTTAACAATCTGAACTGCGTCTTCAGTGGCAAAACACGTTACAATATTTAATAAGCACTCTTCGTGAAGTTTCTTTTCGACGAAACGTTTGTGGCCTTTTCAGAGAGACGGAAGGCGTTGACATATACATTTTGGAATTGAAATATACTATCGCGGGCGGCACAGAACCTACTCATCCCTAATGAATTGGCGTAGCGATAACGGGTTTGACTTATATTCGGAGGTGCTGGGTTCTGATCCCGGCTGGGACACTGGCTATCATAACTTAACCTCTTCGTGGTATTTCTTTGTCCATCAGGGGAAATCACGGGATTTCGTCAGCTAGACCATGACGTCTTCACTCAAAGTTATTTCCAATTCACTATTCTTCTTTAATGCTATCATTAAGTTAAAGATGGCCCTGTGCTTAATTAATTAAGCACCACACCATGAAGATATATACGTCAGAAACATATTGGTGTAAGTTGTCAGCTTCGCGCGCATGTCGGTTTGCCCCTATACCCATTGGATAGGAGGCTGGGTTGGCCCCAGAGCCGGTCTGGACTCTGTGGAGAAGAGAAAAAATGGCTTGCCTCTGCTGGGAATGGAACCCCGGCCGTCCAGGCTGTAACCCGTCGCTATAAACTGAGCGGCGTAAAATGACCCATAAGAAAAGTAACCGACGAGCATAATGTGGCCCGCGCTCCGCGAGTTGTGTATCCGTTGTGTATTGGAAATACTGGTGCCCGTAATTTAATCAGGGGACTGGCAAACGGTAGTTCTATGAGGACGGAAGCTTGTTTCTCGAAGAAAGAGGAAAGAACTTTCATATTGAGCTGAACTGAGTGTTTTTTTTTTTACTATATGCACGAATCCCATACCACAGAACTGATAGCATGGAAAGGAGAGCTGATAATCAATTCTATACAACGTGACGAATTTAATATCCAGGGTGAAGCGAAGCCAGTCTAAATGGAATTCTAATCTAGCCGAAAGGGTAAATGTCTTAAAAACTGATTACTCTTTTTCAGGTCCATTTTATGAAATATGAAACGAATCTGCAACACTTTTCTTTCTGAGAGACTGAGGAAGAGCACGAACAATCAGAATAACCTGTCTCCGTGCCGAGCGGCACAAATGCTCACAGCTTGGCGTCGCGCAGTTTTTAGGAACCGGAATAGCTCAGTTGTTATAGCGACCGGCTAAAAGCTGGACGGCCGGGTTCGATTTCCGACAGGGGCACGATATCTTTCTCCTCCACAGCGCCCAGACCGGCTCTGGGGTCGACCCAACTCCTATCCAATGGGTACCGAAGGCTCTTTCCCCGGGGATAAAGCTTCCGGGGCGTGAAGCTGTCCACTCACCTTCGTCTAGTGCCGAGGTCAGAAAGGGTGTAGAAATTCCTCCACTCCCTTATATATATATATATATTCATGACATCGTGCTTAATTATGATGGGCAGTCAAATGAAAGCGGCTCAGAAACCAAAGCATATTATAGAACATTTCTTACCTCAAAAGTAATCTCCAGAACTGTTAATACATTTATCCCACTGGGAGATAAGACGGTCAGTCCCATCCTTGAAAGAGCTTGTGGGCTGTCTACGGAACCACATCTGTACCCAGCCACACACGTCTTCGTCCGATGCAAACCGATGCCCACGAATGTCTCTCTTCAGGTCTCCAAAAATGCAAAAATCACATGGGGAGAGATCTGGGCTGTAGGGGGGATGTTGAAGCACTTCCCAACCAAATCTCTGTAGCGCATTCCTCACAGAGTTGGCAGTGTGGTGGCGCGCATTACCATGAAGAAGGATAATGCTGTTCGATAGCATTACAGGGCGTTTTGACTTTATGGCACGTCTCAGTTTCTGCAAACTGTCTTCATAGCGTTGTGCACTGATTGTGGCCCCATGCTCGAGAAATTCGACAAGCAGAGGACCCTTGCAGCCGAAGAAGAACGTCATCATCACTTTACCGGAACTTGTGTGTACGGGTTTGGGTTACTTCGGTGGGCTAGAATTCACATGTTTCCACTCTTGGCTCTGCCGTTTGCTCTCGGGTTCAAAATGGTGGGACCAATTTTCGTCCCCAATGGCAGTACGGGTCAGAAAAGCATACTCTTCCTCGTGGTATCATTGCAAGTGACCCAGTGATGCAGCCATTCTCTGAGTCTTCTGTTCCTCCGTGAGTTGATGTGGAACCCACTGCGCGCAGATTTTGCGGTACAGCATGTGTTTTGTCACAATGGCGTTTACGGAATCGTGACTTACTCCCATCATAAAACTAATTTCTTACAGTGATCTGTTGGTTTGCCCAGATATGACCATCCAATGCAGCAATAACATCCAGGAGTGATAACAGGATGAGCCTGTCATGGACGATCATCGTGCAATGACACACGTCCCTCTCGGAATCTCTTATGCCACGCCAACACACGCGAACGTGACATGCTGTATTCGCCGTAAACAACAGACATGCGACGATGAATTTCTCGTCCCTCTACTCCTTCAGCAGTCAAAAGCGCACTACACTTCCCTGTTCTTCTTTACCCGCCTCCATTACTGATGTTTGACGACCACTCGTAGCTCTAACCCTACTTTCAGCACAATAAACACACGAGTAGTGTGCAAGGGCACGTTGTCACTGTGCTTTCCCGAGTTCCCACCAGATGTCCGTACCGTAAGCAAATTCCAGTGTTACCAACTTGCGCGCCGTTTGAGTTATGCGTGGTGACCCGTTTTCATTTGACTGCCCCTTATAATTAAGCACAAGAAAAACTTTACCTTTATACACAGTTTTTGTTGTTGTTTTGTCTAACAAAACTGACAGATTTTAAGCCGGGGCTCTTACACATTTCGTGGTCGCGCCACACTTGGGGATATTCGTGTCTTCTAGTTACCGTGGAATTATAAGAGGGAACTAAAATTTAGAATAAAAGTACCCTTTTTCAAATAAAGTCGTTTATTTTATGAGAATGTAAAATAAAACAATAATACAAAATTATGCTGATTTGCTACAAGTATAAATTAAAAATTATGGAAATGCATGTTTTATTTTATATAGCCATTTCTCTCTGCAACCCCTCGCGTCGAACTGGGCAAAATTTGCAGAACACTAGTTGAGAACTACCCATAAAAATGAATGATGAATACTGGAAGTGTTTGGAAGGAAACGGTATGTGGTTTAATTGAGGCAATATCACAACATTTACATGGAGTTACTAAGGGAAACCACGAGAAAACACTGTCAGGATAACAATTGTAGCAGCCAAGATTCGAAACAGAGCACTTCCAGACTACCGTTATGACAACCTGCTTTGTCGCTACAGAGAATATATTGCGGTTGATGAAGAGGTGTACGTTCTGGATCTTCAAACCGTGGTTCGCGAGTGACCAGTGTATTGTAACCGCGGAACAGTACTTACCTCTTTTCTCCCTTTGCCGTTTATGAGTATGGAGTCCGGATTCTGGAACTTGTCATGCGTTTCAAGACCGGGAAGATGTTCTCCAGCTGACGACTTCATCCAGTCACTAACGAAGATGACGTGTGACGCCAAATCATAGTCATACAGGTGACTATTTGGTTCCAAAGAAGTGGGTCTGCGGACTACCATTGCCCCTTGAATCCCGTCCTGCTTCTGGAAGCCTAATCAGTGAAACAAAGTTTCAGCTTATCGCCTTCAGAGTGCTGGAACCAACCAAGTGATGTAGCCCCCAACTTAAAATATTTCTAAATCTCAAAGAGAGTCTTCTAGAAAAATCTAAATCAGCCCAACATTCCAATGAAGGGGGTCATTGGTTAAGCTGGGATGATGCCAGGATTTTGGAAATTTAAAGTAACAGCAGATATATATATATATATATTTAAGGGCGGAAAAATTCAGGGAACAAGTCCTCCGGGAGGGACTTTAAGCCGTGCGTCCCTTGTCGTAGATTTACGGCACGTAAAAGAACCTGTCTCTAGGAGACCTCTGAGCTAAATTTGGCAAAAAATTTCCCGCCCAAAGTAGTTTCCAATGCCTCCGGTAGATGGGGAAGTATTAGATACCACTGCCAGTAGAAGGTTGGAACCTCGCTGGCAGAAAGGGGCTAATAGCGAGCACTAGTACCGGTAGGGTATGAAGACAGTAGAAATTAAAAGGGGGACGCACAATGGACCAATAACTGGTCTAAGTCCATGGGGAAACCCACCCCCTCTATACTCAATACTTAAATACTCGACAGCAGATATAAAGAATACAATGAATCGGCACACAAGGCATGCTTAACCAATCCGATCAGCCAACCAAATTTGGGAATTTCTCACATTTCGATCCCCTTATCAGCAATTAGGTTATAAATTCACGGAGATTTGTATGACGTGGCAGATTTCGTCATGGGTTTCTATAAGGTTTTAGTCTCGAGTGCTCATGTTTTATTCCATAGATGCCGCTAAATGTAAGCATGGTAGGTCTTATTTGTATACGATTTTTTTGTCAAAATAAAAATATTCACAAATTTTCCAATGTTTTTTTTTTCTGTGCATTGGTGCCCATCCACGTGGTTTTGTTGGCTAGGTTTGTAGCACCAATTTCTACCTACCTTTCTATCCTAGTTCGACGAATGTGCGTGCTTTTTCACAATTTTATTGTATATTTTCTTGTTATCTCCCTTCGAGAAGGGGCACTTCTCGAAGGGAGACTCAACTAGTTGGTTGAGGCACTCTGCTGAAAGCCGGAAGGTCGCGGGTTCATGTCTCGATGAGGTTATTGGATTTTTTCAATTGACCTAATCCTTCCGGCCGCAATGTGGCCCTGGGGTCGACTCAGCCTCTAACAGAAATGAGTACCAGGAATTAATTAAATAATTTTCCTGGGGAGTAAAGCGCGGCCGGCGCGTAAGGATTACCGCCATCTTTGAGCCGATTGTCTAGATAATGTGGGACCTTCAACGTCTCACAACCCTATGGGCCTCCACGACCTGTTACAGGGATAGGAATAGGGTGTTGAGGAGAATATGTGGACCGAAGAGAGATGAAGTGACAGGAAATTGGAGAAAACTGCATAATGAGGAGCTTCATAACTTGTACTTTTCTCCAAGTATAATTAGAATGATCAAGTCAAGGAGGATGAGGTGGGCAAGGCATGTAGCACGAATGGAGGACAAGAGGAATGCATATAGGATATTGGTGGGAAAACCAGCAGGAAAGAGACCACTGGGAAGACCAAGGGTAGGTGGGTGGACAATATAAAAATAGATCTTAGAGAGATAGGATGGGATGGGATGGATTGGATTGATCTGGCTCAGGATAGGGACCATTGGAGGGCTCTTGCGAACACGGTAATGAACTTTCGGTTCAATAAAATGCTGGGAAATTCTTGAGTAGCTACAGATTTGGCTTCTTCTCAAGAAGGGCTCAGCTCCATAAGTAAGTAAGTAAGTAAGTAAGTAAGTAATAACGTTAGGCCGCGCCATAGCTGAAGCGGTTAGTGCCTGGCTTCCCACCGCGGCGGCCCGGGTTCGATCCCGGGTCCGATCCCGGGTCTAGTGAAGTGGGATTTGTGGTGGAAATGTGGCGTTGGGGCGGGTTTTCTCCGAGTACTTCTTCCCATGCCAATCTTCCTTCCACCAGTTGCTCCACAATCACCCTCACCTATCATCTGTGGCTGGTACAATAGGCCAGAGGTGGCCGAAGTACAAGGGACTTAGTCCCACCCCACTAGCAATAAAAAAAGTACTAACGTTAATAGGGCCGTCTACACAGGAGCTGGGATAGCGCAGTCGGTACAGCGACTGGCTACGGACCGGTCGACCGAGGGGTCAGAGTTCGTGTCCTTGTAGGATGAAGAATTTTCTCTTTTCCACGTCGTTAGACCGGCTCTGGGGTCGACCCAACCCCCTATCCAATGGGTACCGGGGGCTCTTACCCCGGGGTTAAAGCGGCCGGGCCTGAAGCTGACCACTCACCTCCATCTAGTGCCGAGGTCAAGAAAATGTGGGTCTATACATCAACTCTCCCTATAAACCTTCATGGCGTAGTGCTTAATTAGTTAAGGACGGGGACAACTTTACGTTTTGCTTGCGAGATAATCCCCCCTCTCCTTTCATGTAGTGTCACACGCTAACCCCCCCCTTTTCTCTCTTTCTTGAGGCTGTGAGGTTCAACTGCTCTGTGATCAGTATACTAAATACAGCCTTACCGTTGTGTGAATGCCAGTATAACGTGCCGAATGTATCTGCTTTGAAATCATATCTGAAGGTCGTAGTTTGTGATATCGGACATTGCGTGATCATAGGAACGCCGTCCATGTGTGGCGTTCCAATCTGATCTGTGCCATGCCAGTGGATTGTCGTGGTTTGTCCCGGGATCCTATTCACTACATCCACAATAATTCTGTCCCCGAAGCATACCTGGAACGAGAAATGAAACTTGGCTCAAGCTTTAAAGCACAATAGTTGCTAGACATACGTTACCTCTGCATTGTGCATCTTGCGTGCTTCATATAGCGCTCGATGCAAGCGGCGATAAATGACTAACTTCGTGGAGCCGAATTCTTCTTAAGACGCGGCCAGTTGCACAGCTACTCATGAATTTCGAAACATACAAGTATTATTGAACCAAAATGCTCATAACCGTGTTCACAAGACCCCTTCACCTGTCCCTTTTTTGAGCCAGATGAGTCAAATACATACCACCCCATCTTTAAGATTCATTTTAATATTATCTTCCCACCTTTATCAAGATCTTCCTAGTGCTGTTTTTCCTTCTGATTTTCCCACCAAAATCCTATATGCATTTCCCTTCACCCCCATTCGCTCTACATGCCCTTCCCATTTCATCCTCCTTTGACATGATCATTCTAATTATACTTAGCGTAGAATATAAGTTATGATGTCCTCATTATGCGATAACAAAGAGCAGTTATTTCCCTAAAGGCTGGTTTCCGCTTACCTGTATGGATGGTCCCGGAAGCTGGTTGTTGACCGCAATAATTCCACGTTCGTACCCATCAGCCGTGATGCATTGATTCTGGAAGCAGTCCGTTACATTGGCTGGGCAGTTTCTGCAGGCCCTGAAACAGACAACCGTAACTCGTGCAAAGTGGACCGGCATGCAGTCTCAGAGTGAGAGCAAGTGGGAAAGGCTCATGCTGCTACGGAGAAAGGTTGAACAAAGGCAGTCGAAGCGTGGCTTCCGGTTCTGACGGCGGTGACTGAATTTTGTGCCTTCGATTCCAAAGTAGAAGAGGTACCAAGGTTTCGGAGTGATTTCCTATAACCAACTTCAGGTTAAGTTACGTACTCTTCTGTCCTGTTTATGGATAGGACAGGGACCCTACTGTGTACTTACGGTCCCATGGTTTTGTAGTTCTGCAGTGTCCAATTATAGTAGCATATTCTGGGTGGGGAGCCTTCCTCGCAGGGTCTGTAGCACGAAGTCTCGCGGAAGTAGTCCATGTCTGAGATGACGTTGGGCTGCAAGAACTGCTCAACACGCAGTCCCGCTGCAACACGAGATGACGTGTCATGCAAAATGTGCTCAGACTTATGCAGATCAGTTTCACATGTCGTGGGAAAAACGTCCGCTCTTTTTATTTATTTATTTTTCTTTTTGATACCTTATTCCCCCCACTTTTTCTTCTGAATTAACTCGTGTTAGTTCTCTTTCTTTTCTTCCATAGTCCTCTTTTTCCTTAATCTGTTTATCCTGACTTCCTGTGCCTCCGACTGGTTCGCTCAGAGCCGCGATGTCTCTCATATACCCTGCCCTTGGAAACCGGACCTTCAGAGCGTACACCGACTCGCGATTTGCACATGGCATTCAAAATCCCTTACGCATATGATTATATAACAAAATTATGCAGGCAGCAAGCAGAACTCATGCAAAATCATGTCAATGAGAATGTTCGCAATATTGGTCAAGACGAAGCCCGACACAGAAAATATAAAAGGCTTAAACTTGGCGGCGGTCAGGCATACGACCGTTCAAGTGACTAGACTGCCGTGGTAGCGAATACTACTGGAAATATTACTGTGACGTATTTGCGCCATGCAGGCCAACACCCCCCCCCCTTTTCCAGCGGTGACGTAACAGCATCGGAGCAACTGCCGCTGCTACGGCAACAGGCCAGTAAACATTCCGTCGCCTCCCGCGGTGGCGTAACAGCACTTTCCATGATGACGTAACAGGGGACACCGCGGTTACTATGCAGCAATAAACAGCTCTCGGCAGCGTTCCCTAGCAACGCCTGTAAACAAGGCGTTTACGTAACAGTTAAGCGATGTGGGTTTTCCGCTGTCCGACTGAGGGTTTATAAGAGTTACTAGAGAAAGAGTAACCAGTGAACACCCGTGTGGAGGCGGGGTCGAATACCTCCACCGTGACTCTGTGAGTCGTAGGAGGCGACGAAAAGGGAAGTCTCAAATCTGAGACAGTAAAATATGGTCGCGAGTCTCAAGGGAATCGGACCCGAGAAAGACTGCGCTCGCAAGGGCCAGCAACATATATAAAAGACAGACCCGTCCTCTCGTCTGAGAGGGCGCCTCTCAAAAACAATGCCGTAAATGTCAAACAGTAATAAATATCTGGTCATGAGCCCAAAATGGGGCTCGACACCAAGACGTACTGACTGACTGACCGACCGACCGACCGTCAGTCGCTATGTAACTTTGACTTTGACTTCAGTGACCATACAGTTGCAGTCTAGCATTCGCCGGAGTGAGTTGTGGAACCGCAGATGGCAGTAGTTGTGTAATTGTGAATTGTATAAGTGTACGAGCGAATGTGGAATAAATTCGCCATATTCAATATGGCGTGAAGTTATTTGTCGCGTTACGTACCCGACATGTGACAGTACATAGTCTGCTATACTGAGCCTGAACTGACAGAGGCCTTGTACATATTGTGCATAGAAGTAGGAATTAAGGCTAGGATTAAATTGTAAATATATGTAAATACTGACAATGGACTTACTAATACAGACTATAAGCACAATAGACCACTGTAGGTCGCGGTGCAAGGGCCAAAAAGGCCTACCCCTCATACATTCATTCAATACAGACTATATCTGACAAATGACAGACCCGACCTCTCGGCAGAGAGGGTGCCCCAAATGGACAGGACAGCAACTTTCATTTAATAAAAAACATATCGTTACCGTTTCAGCATTTTTTATTCGAGTGACTGCACCACGTGGTGTGGCTATTACATCATTACCTGCCGCAGACGCTGAAGCGAGGAGCAGCCAGAGTGCAGTGGCGTGCACAGTAGACGCCATCACACAGCTCGGTTGAACTGTGTACACACCCAAAGTCAGGCGAAGGCCTATAAACATACAGTAATAGAGTGCGTTCAGTTAAGGAGGAAACTTCGCAACACCGCTGACGTGGCCCAACATTCCTCACAGATTGCTACTGTAACTGTTGATAGCAGAATGAGTCATTAGCGCTGATAAACGCGCGCTGTTACAGTTACAGTTACAGCAGCAGTCTGAGAGGAATATTGGGCCCGCTCAACGGTGTTGCGAAGTTTCCTCCTTGATTGAACGCCCTGTATTAAAAAACAAATCGATAAGATCCTTAAATTTGTAAATATATATTACAAAAAAAAAAGAAAGAAACCGATAGGATCCATGATTTCGCAACAATATTATAAAGGAACCGGGAAGATTTTTACATTTGCAGCAGTATTGTAGAATAAACTGATAAGATTTACAGAACTGTAGGAAGATTATAAACAAACCAATAGAAGCAGATTGCTGTTTGACGTTTGCACCTTGCTTGGCTTACACTTATACCCAGAAGATGGAGTCAGTACGTTCCTCCGAGACACCGATAAATTTCTGTCGAACTGCACGTCCCTCATCTCCCGGAAGACAGCAGTCTCTTTATAATTTGCTGCTTTGCTCTTTCCCAGGCATTTGAATGAAGTATTATTATTATTATTTGCAAATTTACGCTATAAGCGATTGATTCAGCCGAGCTCCTGTTGTAATTATGAATCAATTTCTTGGGACACGCGTTAGCGTAATTGGTTGAGGCACTATGCTACAAACCGGGAGGTAGTGAGTTGGATTTTCGATTAGGTGTAACGCGTTTACCCGGCGCCGGTGGGGGTGGCAGTTCCCGCCGCCGCCGCGTACTTGTTACTAAAAACTCTCGCTAGTGCCACTGAGAGTCAGGGGTTCGTCTTGGTGCAGGAGCTGACGCTAGAGCCCAAGATTAAACAGACCACACTCCACACGTTGATAATATTATTAACCAAGTTTATTGAAGAAGAAAAAGAATGAAGAAAGATACATAGAAATGTTACATTGAGAATGACGACCCTCGCCTCTTGCGAGCTGCCTTCTATCTGCCAGCCTCGGGCTTTGTTCCCAAAGAACCACCACGTGCTACAGTGTTTTTTTAGGTGGCTATGCGCCCTCGCATCCAGCCAGCGATGGGACCACTGGTCGTATCTCAATGTTTACTGGTGAAGGGGTGAGGCCACATACCAATCCGTCTAGCTCGAAATAACACCGTGTGTGGTCCCTTTAGGACTGCTTATATGCAAAGTATTCTTAATATCAAATGGTTACACATTTAAAAGTTACAA